GGACTGGACTTTGTTTATTAGCATCATAATGAACTATTACATTTATTTAAAATATATGTTTAATGGCATTTTGTATTATGAAATAAAATTAACGTGGTTTTTTATTATCAAACAGATGCCACGACAATTTATGTAAAGAGAAGACCTTTTATAGAATATTTCGTTGGAGTTTATTTACTACGGACTTTTTAGCACGAGACTACAGTAAAATGTTAAAATACAATATTGTTAATAGAGCAAGAAATGGTACTCATTGTCTACGAGTATTATAAAAAAAGCATGTGCGCAGCCGAATACTGCAAATCAAACCTTGTGAGTTGAAGATTATATTTTTTTTACGGCTATTACATAATATTAAAAATTAGTCAAAATGAGAAAATGCTGTTTTGTATTGTAATCTCAGCTTCTTTCTTTAGGAATATTAATTAATATAGAGGATGAGTCACATAAAACTCTAGAAATGCATATGTCTGAAACTAGATAACATTTTAAAATTTAATCCTATTAAAAGTCATTTGGGCGCTAGGGGTGGGTGATTATCGAAATAAATTATCGATCATTGAAAATAATCGATTATTTTCGATCGATCGATTATTCAAACAATCTATTTTTTTGTCGTATTTCCTTTAAAATCGACTACTCGATTACCTGTGAAAAATCAAAAATAATCGAGTAATTAAAAAGCCAATTAACCGATAAATCAGTGTTTACAAAAAATAATAAAATATTTACCGTTTATTTTAAATAATCGATTACTTGCAAATAATCCATTTTGTTTTTCGTCCATTGAAACAGATTATTCGATAATCTTTGAAAAATCGAAAATAATCGATTAATCAGAAATAATCGATTAATTAAAAAGTGGATTAACTGATAAATCGATTTTCAAAAAAAAAAACGAATTTTCGATTATTTTAAATAATCGATTATTTTCGATCAATTGATTATTATCAATAATTTATTTTTATTGTATTTAATTTAAAATCAATAATTCGATTAATCGAAATAAACCAATTAATTAAAAAGCCGATTCTACGATAAATCTTTTTTCCAAAAAATAACCGAATTATCGAGTATAATACATTTGAAAAATCAAAAATAATCGATTAATCGATTAAAAAAAACAATTAAACGATAAATCGATTTTTCCAAAAAAATCGATTATTTTCAATCAATCGATTATTTTGAATAAATCTACTTTCTTTTTGTATTTCCTTTAAAATCGATTATTACATTATCTTAAAAAAACAAAAATAATTTATTAAAAATAACGGATAAATCGATTTGCCTATCGGTCGCTTGCTTTTATCCGAGCATTTAGATCCAAAATTTAGAGATTTGAATTTTTTGATCCCGTTATCTTTAAAACCGAATTCGATTGTATAATACATAATAAATATTGCTAGAATTTGGTTTTTTTTAGTAAACGAAAATTTTGTTCGAGTTGTTTAGCGGTTTATAATGTAACATTTTATTAAAAATGTGACTAACTCATGTATTAGTATTTTTTGCTTATACTAGTGTTTTAATTTGTTTTAAGACTTAAGATTTAAATGTCACTTTCGATTTGACCGCAAATAAGATGAACCTTGAAACTTTAAGTAGGTCATCCTGTATTTCATCTAATATTCTTATAAAAATACCTTATAAAAATAAAATTTTGTTAGCAACTATGTTTCTTTACTTCTTATTTATCTACCAAAAAGGGCTAAAAACCACCTTTATTAAATATTAAAACTACTTTTTAAAAACAAAATTTCGTTAGCAACAATTGCTATTTACTTCTTATTTAAATTAAATGTTCAAAATTTTACCCTTTTGTATATTTATGTAAGTAATATGAAATCTGTTTTCTGAAATATGTATTTGATGCTTAATATTTATTGAAACCCCTTAATGCGGATCTGAAGTAGTTAGCCCAAAGGATCATGGCGCTTTATGTCAAAACGTTAAAAAATATTTTTTTATCTTTCATAACATTGTATTATAAGTATATACAATTTTTCAAGATGTATCGTGGCATTTTGAACTTAAAATTGAATAACGAGAACACTTTAAATTGCTAAAAAATCAACAAATAAATCAAAAAACAGCTGTTAATGGTGACTGAACTCCGGTGGAGGTGAGCTTTGAATGAAAAATCGGAGCAATTCGGGTGGCGTCGTGCAAGCAATAATTTTCAATTGGTGGGTTACTTGGGGTTAAAATAGACAACATGCGCACTGTGCAATGTTACATCTTCGGTCTCTTTAATCTAAGATTCTCACAGTATTAAATTGCTCGGGTGTGATTTAAACATTGAACTATATTTTTGACGTAATTCATCCAAATTGGTAGCTTGTTCGAATTGAAGCCTGTATACATTGTTTTTAAGCATTCCACAAAAATAAAAATGAAGCGGCGCTAAGTCTGGCGACCTTAGGGGTCATTTTATAGTACAAGGTACAAAGATTAGCCAATCTAATATTAACAAAGGTATTTAGAACTGCTGGGTCTCCCTCCATTACACCTTGTGCTGGAGAGGGAGGCTATGGCGGCGGCACTAATAGATTTGAATGGAAACTTTTGAGAAAAGGACACCATACAATATTAGGGAAATTAAAACAAAATCCGGTGTTAAGAATGCCATCGGATAGAACGCCTATTATTCATAACTTTAGAGAAAGCAAACCTCTTAACCAGAAAGAAAGCGGAAAAAACTCTAATTATATTATAACCCACATTTGGTATTTCATACCAACATGTTAATTGGGTGCTAACGAAACAAATAAATAGAGAACATCATAGGCTGTGGTTGGAACTTCCTGGACTTAGACAGTCCAATATATTCATGGAAGGTCCATTCAAGAGCAGACAAAATCAATTGCTAAACTTGATTGGGAAATTGTTCATTTAGATATGTAGTCTCTATCTGTGCATTTTGTGATGTGCATCCATTTTGTTCGAACTGAATGTCATTGAAGTTGACCTGAAAGTTTCTGACGGCATGAATAATATCATTTTCAAGTAGTCTGTAAATACTTCTGGACAATCAGGTTATCCTGAATGAAAAATAGGACCGATGACATTATTCCCCCGAATTCTCGCCAAAGACATTCAGTTTTTGCGGATATTGTAAGCATACAACTACACCCAAATGTTTAATCTCCTGCGACCAATAGCGTAAAGCGGATAGATTATGTTTTCTATGAAGAGTGAAAAAAAACTAATCAGTAAATGAAATATTTTTAAAAAGAGAATATTTTGATCATCTGGCAAAACTCCATCCGTTTAAAATGGTCATCAGGAAAAATTTCTTGAGTCAACTTCAGCGACAATTTGTCTACTTGAAGACGGTGTAGCTTCAGCTAATGCACAGATTTGCGTTTTCCTTATGTTCTATTCTTTTGTCAATTGATTTCGACGTGGTTGCCTAGAGGGAAAACACTTTTTTGTAGTTATCAAATTTTGGTATAATTATCACAAACTACATTATCCGTAGGAATTGGACTATTTTTAAATGCAACTGCAAATAATATTTTGAACGGAATGACCCCCTATAGTACCACTTGACTATTTGTATTTTTTCTTTTTGTTGCTTTTTATAGTTTTGCCCTATACCCAATAAAAATTTAAGCCGAATCTGTATAAGAGAGGATAAGTTTTTTGTAGATATTTGTATTCAATGATATCAGTCAAACATAAATTAACTGTAACACGTTCATTAACCAACAAATACATCAGCCATAAACCTTAACATCAAGCAAGCAAGTTACATGGAACGAAAAGGAGGGAAACCAGAAACTGACATATGACTTGCTTATGAGTAGGGTCAACTGGTAAGTTGGTTTTAACGATTACATAAATTTTTCTGCTAGTTACTTATACAGGGTATTTGTGTATTTGACCAACAACGCTCTACCCCAGAGAGCTCTCGTTAATTAATGAATTTTGATGAAATCCCAAAGGTCTTAGTTACCGAGATACAGGGTGTTAAAAATTTTAAATCAATATTCAAAATTTATCATAAAACAAAAATATTTTTCCAAATTTGATCCACCAAGATCTTGTCAAAAACACAAACTATAAAAAATTGACACGTGCTTACTAGATTAGAATTTAAAAATATTGAGTATCGAGTCGTTACAAGCGACACTGTTCATTTTAGCTTCATAAAAAGTTCACTTTTTATTTACTAAAAATAAACAGAGAATTTAAAAAATAAGAAATACTATTTTTCCCAGTGGCGTAAAAAATAGGGGGAAAATTACCATTAACCTTGATAGCGCGTCACTGGTATAAATTTTTAAAAGTAAGTTTATGTCAAAATATTACTTTATTAAAGAGCACATTGTTCACTAAATTTGAAATTAATATTGAAAGGCGTTTTTGATTTATGACAAATTTAAAATTTTGAATTTTAAGTTTTAACACCCTGTATCTCGGTAACTACGTCCTGTAAGGGTCCATGTTCCTATATTAAAATTCATCAATTAACGAGAACTCTCTGGGGTAGAGCGTTGTCGGTGGAATATACAAACACCCCGTAGTAATAAGAGAAAAATTAATAATAAACTAAAAACAACTTGTGATGTTTATGACTTTTTGACTGGTCCAGCATGTTAGACTTGGTCAAACGCCTTCTGAACATCGATAAGAATTACAGAAGAGGTTTGTTTGGAAGTCAGTGTTGTGGTAGCAGTGGTGTGAATGGCGTCCACAGTGGAGTGATGGAATCAGGGTAGGTATACTGTTTTTCTCTCTTAACAAATTTGTACAATTTTTTATTTTTGGATATACTGATTACCACGGCAACTGTACAAAAATGACGGGCTGTTCGGCTATTTTTCTTTGTTTCTCTACTTCAGTTTCATAAAATAGTCTATTTTAAAAAGTAAAGGAAATTGTGAAAAATATGACTGACCGTCATAATTAAAAATAAAGTTGAAAGACAATTATTTATTAAAAATTGTTTTATCCGAGTACGGGTTATACTTTGACAAATGAATAAAAAACTATGACTATAAAATTGACTCTCTTACCGGTGCACTCAGACACGGGCACGTACAGTGATGGATGGAACGAACGCTTTCTCGAGACACCGAACGAACTATTTTCAAATTCGAGGCCAATGTCTGCGAGGTTCTGCGTTCCAGAATACCTCTAGGAGATGGCGAAACGTAAGGCGCCAGTTGGAAGGCGTTCGAAGAACTCCTGTTTCTTGTTGGTACATTCGACGACAGGTTCTGTTTGCATCCTTTCACGTCCAACCTAAAATTACAAAAAATTATGTTAGAGAATTATAAAATTGGTATTTTTAGATGGTAAAACATTACATACATAAGTACAAGTAAAATATACTGAAGTCCCAAGAACAAGTACTTTTAAAAATTGCGAGTAAGTACCAGTACAAGTACAATTACATATATTTGGTATTTAAGTACATTAGCCTTAAGTTCATAAAAACGTACTTAAGTACTTTATAGAATAACTTCTAAAATATACTGAAATATACTTCAGTACAATGTAGGATACTTAAATACATTGTATACTTAAGTACATTTAGGTTTAAATAAGTACTTACGAAACACTTAAGTACATTTGTGTTTACTTAAGTACATAAAAATAATGGAGAATCTTTGCTGGTGGTAGGCCTAAGTCAGCAGGGCCGCCGAGAGCCAGAGCGGGCCCCAGGACGACAATTCTCCAGATCGGGCCCCCGCGACAATTTTATAAAAAAATAAATAACAAGAAGGTTTCAAGCATTCTCCTCCTCTACTTAAATTTCTCTCAAGCAAACATTTCTCCTCCTCTACTTAAATTTTTCTAAAAAAAAAAGGTCCTTAAGGTAAACATTTTTTCCTTCTCTACTTGAATTTCTCTAAAAAAAAAGGTCTTAAACTAAGAACTTCCACCCTCTTCTGTCGAACTTCTGAAAGTAACAAACACCACCGCTGCCAGGCCCCCCCTTATACCGCTGCCGGGCCCCCATTTGAGCCCGGGCCCCGGGAATTAGTCCCGGCTGCCCCCCCCCCTCTAGTCGGCTCTGTAGTCAGCTCAATTTGAATTAAAATATCGTTGCTAACCGGGATTAGTAATATTAGAAGTATTTATTAATAAACTTCATATTTTACGTAAATTTTAAAAATAAAATAGTACAAGATAAAATAAATATTCCTTTATTACTAAAATAAAAAAAGAACAGAGTACCACAAAAACTTATAAATACATCAGTACTAGTACTAATACCAGGAGAGGTTTCTCCATTGGTTCATTTGTGCAGTGAACACCCAGTTAAATTTCATGAAAACACATTATTTTAAAATTACATAAAAATATAAATTTAATTTTAATATTTTTATTTTCATACGTGTCCTCTGGCTGATTGCATCTCTGTGGCACAGTATACCTAAGTATACTGTGTCTGTGGCGTATTATGATGAGTGAGCCTAACACGAGTGAGACGGTATGGTAAATGCATATAGCTAAAAAGAGAAGAAAACACGCCAACAGATTCTTCAAACTGTCACAGAACATATTAATTGGCGCGCCGCTCACAAACAAGGTTGCCAAACCAGTGTTGCCAGTCTAGTACAATTCACAATTGTACTAGATGTACATTCTGCGTGTTCATGTGTAAAATATATATATATTGTGGTCCTTGTTTGGGTTCGTGATCAATGAAGACCCCCTTTTTTTCCCCCTTCAATGAATTAGATGTCACTGCAAATAGAATTCGAAAAATCTGATACATTTAAGGAATCTGGTATATTTTTTAGACAAATCTGGTACATAACAAAAACATATTCTGGCAACACTGTACCAAATAAAACAAACTGTCTTAGAGTAAGTGTTCTGAGACACTGTGACTGTCATTTCGTTTGCCGTCATTATGGAAAGGTTTTATAAAATTAAGATTATTTTATTATTTGTGATCATTTAAAAAAAATGTGTTTAATTGAGAACTGCAACTTTAATAAATTGGAAAGATGTATATCACTTTAACGATTGTTCCCGAAAAAGGCAAGGTAAATAAAAATTTTTTAAGGTTATGTTGTTTACATATAATAAAGATTTACGACTGTAATTTGTTTTATATTTTGTTTTAGTACCTAAGATCATCCAAAGACTAATTCAAAAATGGTCTATTTGGTACCCAATTGTAAATACTATGAAGTAAGAAGTAAGCAAAAAAATTGTAATTTTTTTCCCACAAAATCCACTAAGAGGAAAAATTTTATTATTTTGATGAGGTAACTACTTGACATCATCATGGAAATGTACAATAAAAATTAAATAAAGTTAAAGAGACAAATGGGTTTTCACTTTAAAAGTCTGAATCGGAAAACCATACCAGTTAATTTAATATACTCGATGAGAAATTTTACCTAAGAAATGGTATGTACATTTAAATGGTTTACCTATATAAAGTTATATTTGCCTGCAATTATCAATCGTGTTACCCTCTAACCAATATCATTTGTTGCATACAAACCAAAATTTTTTTATTTAAATGGATTTTTTAAATCAATCTCTCTCTCTATATATATATATATATATATATATATATATATATATATATATATATATATATATATATATATATATATATATATATATATATATTTTTCGCATGGATCGTTGATGTCGCCGTACGAGATTCATTGTCAACTATATTAATTTTTATTTGTCCTGTAAACTGCAACTATACTAAAATTGGTAGAATAGAGTAGCATTGACAAAAAGTATGCTAGTATACTCTATTACTAAATATACTAATATGTAAATGAACCTTAATTAATGAACTGTTAAATAAAAATTTCAACTACCGAAAATAGAGTAAGAAGTAAAAAGCCAAACGAAAGTAGTTTACATAGGAACACCAAAAACAAAGTTTTAAATTTACCTTAAAAAAAAGGTCATAAATTTTTTTTCCAGTCAGTTTTATTCCCCACTTTCCCTGATTTTTTTTTTTTTGAATCTATATGTCAATTTATACAATATGACCGTGTTACCAAATTTTAACATTTTTAAAATAATTAAAAAAATTAAATAGAAGGTCATGAACTGCCAAATAATCTAAGTGATGCATGGTGCACATTGGGTCATAAATGTAATAAATTTTTTTATTTGAAGACAAAATGGCCATCTATAGGTGCCATTTAAAAAATATAACTTTTGATAAAAATCACGTTTTAAAAATCGAATATTTTTAATGATTTCACGTTCAGGTTTTTCAACTATATTGTTAAATGTGGGTAAGCCGGAAAATACAATATAAGATCCAGAATTTTAGCTTAGGTATTAGCAGATTTAAGTCGGATATGGGAAAAAAATATCCGAGTACCGGATACGGGTACTTACACGACTAATTTTGCAATAGTGCATTTTGGTGCAATAGTTTTCTTTTTGCAAAAATATCATTCAACTTCACCGACCTCGAATTTTATATAAAGTAGAATTTTAATTTGGGACAATCAGTATGTTTTTGCGTTATTGTTAAGAACGAGCCACTGTTGGTGAATCATAAATATCATTAGGTAAAAGGTTTTTATATTTTTATATTTTAAAAATGAATCAGTACCTCTCGTACCTTCAAACGAAAAATATGTTGGAAGTGCACGTGCAATAATATCAGTTTTTTGTTGTATATTTCGGTTTATTTATTGTTAATAACATTTTTAATAATGTATTTAGTATATGATGTGTTTGTCCAATGGTGTCGCTGTTTTTAAATGGACTAACAGATACATTAGGTGAGTAGGTACCTATTATTAATGGTTTTATTTTCTCTTAAATTGAAAGAGGGTTTTGAATGTGGTAGGGACCAGTGTTGCGAGAATTTATTTTTGTTATGTACCAGATTTGTCTGAGAAATGTACCAGATTCCATAAAAACGAACCAGACTCTATAAATTGTACCATATTTTTCGAATTATGATGGTTTGATTCAGAAGAGCAAAAAAGCTTTTATCAAAAACGAACACAAACAAGGAAGAACCCAACCATTTTACCCGTCCAATGGAAACTGACTGAAAAAAGTAAAAGTACTAGATTTTGCTTTGAGTGTACTAGAGTACCAGATTCCTAAATAATGTACTAGATCTGGTACAATTGTACTAGACTGGCAACACTGAAGTGTGATAACATTTTACGATATGTATCTCACTAGTTTAGTTCACAGATTGCTGTGTTCTGTGTTCAATTATGTGCTGCTATTTCAAACTTTTAGTATCCTTTGATAAAAGAAGTTGAATATTATTGTTGACCTTTTTAAATTGTTTATTTTACCTCATACATTTTTTTTTCTACTCTTCATACAGTATTTTGTGAAGAGTATTATAGGTTTACTTTGTCCGATGTCATGTTTTTTGTCTGCACGATAAGTCAAAAACGAGAAATGATATCAATTTGAAATTTTTAAGCAAAAATCAAGCTCTATAAGGAAACAAAACTAATTGATTTTTAACAAATCTGATTAAAAATAGGGGGTTAAGATGGGTTGAAATTAAAAAAAAAAATTCCAAATTAAAAACGAAAAGCGATATCAACATGAACGGAGTTAAGGGAGTTAAGGGAGGTTAAAATATAAAAAAAAAATCCTAACTGAAAAACGAAAAATGATTGAAATTTTTAGCAAGCATTAATCTCTAAAAGGAGAATAAGCCCTTTAATTATAAAAAAAAATCTGATTAAATATGGGAAATTTAAGGGGGGTTGAAATTAACAGAAAAAACAATCAGAAATAAAAAGCGATATGAACATGAAATTTTTAGTAAAAATCAAGTTTTATTAGGAGTTGAGGCCTATTGATTGTGAAAACAATCTGTTTGAAAATGGGGGTTAAGGGGCTCTGTTAAACTGCGAAGAGTATCATTTAGAATGCCAGGCATATATTTTTATTCTAGTTTGTGACTGTGTAATATTATGTATTGTGATGAGACTGATCTTATAAAATAAACATTTAAAACATTTCGGTTCTTATTTTATTTGCTAGTGAAAGGTATTTAAAAAATATATTTTTTATTTGACATCCTTGACAAATTGTGAAAATGATTAAACTTACAATAAAAATTAAAAAATGGTAGGTAAAGTTTTATATTAAATTTTTAACACAAAAATCAATGTCAACCTTTCTACATAACCTGATATACCGGGTGTTCAAATTAAAGTGTTACAGTTAAATACCGCCGAAAATATGCATTTTAGAAAAAAAAGTTTCAGACAAAAGTTTTATAGTTTTTTGGGGGAAACATTTTGGGCAAATTCATTTTTTTATAGTTGACCATAATATGGCCATATCGAGGTGAACTTTGTTTTTTTAAATGGGAATCCCATTTTTTTTTACATATTCTTAAAGTACATAAAAAATAAGAAACTTTTGATGAAAATATTTTTTTTATTGGACTTTTACTTTTTGAGTAACAGGTACTTAAAAATTTTGCTAGGCGAAAAAAAAGTTGACCGTATTATGGTTAGCTATAAAAAAGGATTTTAGCCAAAAATTTTTCCCCACAAAACTGTAAAACTTTCGTCTTAGACGTTTTTTTTTTTTTTTTTATAAAAGGCGGTATATAGCTGTAACACTTTAATTTGAACACCCGATATATTTAAAAATAATCTCAAATTATGAAGAAAAGTCAGTTTACTAACTAATAATGTTTATAGATGGTTTTCAACGTATTAAAAACAAAACAAATATTACACTAACTAAAGTGTTTGAAAACAGTATGATGTTGATAATAATAACTACACTTAATACAAACTCAAATAATAAAAAAAAACAGCGATATTGATCCTTATAAAAAGTTTTGATCCGAACTTACAAATGATAAAATTATTGGAAAAAGTGAACACCCATTTAAAATTACTACGAGCCGACACTGATTACTACTACTACCAACAAATCTATTTGGATCTTAAATGTAAATAATTGCCATTTGCTTTAAGAACGACTAGTTTTTTTTAAATTATAGTCGCTCAAAGCATGCCTACGTGGCACATTAACAATTCCAGCAGAAGAAAAAAGTATTTCGACTGGTGCGGAAGATGGCAGGATTGTATTGTATTTAATAAAAACTAACTTTATATATCTATAATCGTTTAGCATGTCTAAATTAGTTCTACTGTCGTTTAGGTATTTTAATACTTCTAATTTAACTAGGTAGTTAGAAGCCATTGTGCTGTTATTAGGTACCGGTAGTTTACTTAATAAAGACACCGACTCTTGTTCTTCTTCCTCAAAATCAAAAAAAGGATCGTCTGACTGGATATTTTCATTAGTTATTTTATTTTCCTGGCTGATAAAGTATTCGATAGTCAAGACTACCCAGTTTTGTATTTCTATGTATATGGTAATATTTAAGTCTATAAAGGCGTTATACCAGCGCATTTTGAATCGTGGGCACACTACGGCGCCAATTTTGGCAGTTTTGGATTCTGGACTTAAAAATTCTTGAAATCTTTGCCAAACAGACTTAATTATGGCCTCTAAAAGCACTGTTACGAAGCTGGGAAGCAAATACCCATAAAAAATCTAATGTTTCAGCCAATGGCTGCAATAATTTGATATATTCCTCTAAAAAGGATATTTCATGTTCCTTAAATACCGGAATCATAAGTTTATCACATAGAAGTCCTAACTTATCTTTGGCAGACACAATTTGGACAACAGCATCATAAGTAGAGTTCCATTTGGTAACTCCTAGAACTTTTAACTTATGTTCAAGTTCTTGTATTATTTCAGCCGATTTTGGCCGTCCGCATTTATTTCACAACTTCGAACATTTGGAAAATATTTGTGTATTTTTTTGTCGCAAAGGCAGTAAACCATTCACCATATCTTATGTGTTCCAGAATGAATTAATTCCTATTTTATTATTTAAATATTCGCGCTTTGTCTCAAATCGCTTACTTAAAAAATCGCTTACTTAAAACTTTGGCCCACACATGCGCTTCGTCTGACTGTAAGACAAGTGAAACGCCGTTGGACGAAGAGTACTACAGAAATTGCCGCGACGAACGCTTTGTGGTGTGTATGTGCCGTTAAATCCGCTATTATAAATCCTGTATAATAAACGTTGTTATATAAATTGTGTAACCGGGCCCGGTCTTGGCTACTGGACTAATACTACCACCTACTTCATCCGACGAACTATATGATGCAGCACAGAAGGTAAGCGCGTTTGAGACACGTTTATCTTATTTTTTTTCGACTGTTACAATCAGCCCCTTTTTTACGTAATATTCTAATCATTCTATTACATTTTTTTGGTCCTTCGAGTACTTTAATAACAGTTAGAATTAAATTGTTGCATTATTATAACTGTGGGATTTTTTTTGCGAAAAATTCGATTTAAAATTTTCTTTATTTTTTAAATTATCAAAAGCGCTATTCAAAATTATAGCATATCTGCTAAAATTAATCAGTTCTTACTAAAAAAAAATCATTTAGTTTGCATACAATATTATTTCAATAAGTATTAAATTTATTGAGTTAATTGTAAAATTTATCAGGTAGACATATTGGTCATTTTTTTAGTCGAGTCGTGCTCAAGTTGTTCGACATCGGTAGTGTACACAGGTTCCAATCAATCGGCCTTCAAGTGGCCTTCATTTATTATTATTATCGCCTTTTCGCTAATTGTCGCTCTGTTTATCAATCACCGCTTTGTCGTTTACTCCGCTACCGTATATTTCGTTATTTTTGAAATTTGTGAAAAATCGCCCGCCTTTTCGCCGTGTTTCGTATCGAGGTGAGCTTGATACCGCTGCCGCTACATTAATATTGCCTTTTGATCAGCTGATACAAATAAATTTGGTTTTAATTTTGTTTTGCTTGCGATTCGATTTATTTAATTTATTACAATGGTTGAAAAACTTGTTAAATATAAAACTTTAAGAACTTCTTGCTTAAATGAAATAAACGTAATTAGTATGCTCGCTGATAAAGCGAATAGTAATAAATCATTCAAAAATGTCTTTAAAGTAAGGTGCGCAGATATTGATAGTCTTAAAGAGGATTTTTTTAAACATCATAATAATGTTCTTGCCACATTGTTTGCTATCCCTGAAGATGCTGGGGGCGAAGATGCTACCAAAGAAATGTTTTTAGAAGAATTTTATAAGATTAAAGCATTATTTTCTGAATTATTTGAATCTGATACTCAACCAGTAAACGCTAATCAAAATACTGCTTTGCATAATTCTACACTTTTTCATATAGATCCAAATTCATCTCATATTCGTTTGCCGGTGATTGAATTAAAGAAATTTAGTGGCGATTATAGAAATTTTCGCTCATTTATAGACCATTTTAATAATTTAGTTCATGAAAAACCTCATTTATCTAATATTGAAAAATTCGATTATTTACTCTCTTGCTTGGATGGAAAACCATATTCTTTAGTTCGGCATTTGCCTTTAACTTCTAATAATTATCAATTAGCTTATGATACTTTACAAGAGAGGTATGCAAATCCACGAAAATGTGCACAAGCTCATTGGAATGAGATTGACAGCACGTCTAAAATTGAATCGAATAATCCGCACGCTTTAGAAAAATTACTTGATATTTTTAAAGAAAATATTGCCGCTCTAGAAATCTTAGGTTTTCCGGTTGAACATTGGGATTTCATTCTAGCCATGATGTTACTTAAACGACTTGATAATGAAACTAAACTACGTTTCGAACTTGAACATCGTTCTTGTCAGGTTCCTAGCTATAAAAGTCTTATTAAATTCTTAAACGAACAATATTTAGCTTATGATAATATTGATTCGGACTCGCCATCCAGTTCAAATATAAAAAATAAACCTAAGATTATCACACCACGTCCGCGTTCGTTTTTTACGAATACTGGCGCTAAATCGCCTAGTTCTAATTGTATTCTTTGCAAGGAAACTCATTCGCTTTATAAATGTCAGAATTTCGCTTCAAAGTCGCCCTCTGAAAGACATGCCTTCTGCAAATCTAACCATTTGTGCTATAATTGCTTGAGTAGTTCTCATGACCTGAGGTCTTGCAATAGTACTCAAGGTTGTAGATATTGTTTTTCAAAATCACATCATAGCTTGTTGCATTTTGATCGGCAAATATCTCAAAATCACCGCCCTTTGGACCGCTTGCCTCCTACTTCGTCTACGTCTCTGCCAAATTTCACCAGTACTAGTACTTTAGGAAATCAAATTCTTACCGCTCAAGGAGTAATAGAATCAAGTCGAATTTTATTAGCTACCGCCCTTATCGATGTTCTTGATAATCGAGGAATTTACCGCTCATATCGTTGCTTACTAGATTCAGGAAGTATGAGCTCGTTTATTTCCAAGCGAGCTGCTACTCGTCTAAATCTTGCCCAAACCGAATTTTCCGTAGATATTAGAGGTTTAGACTCGATGACATCTACCCTTGACACCGCTCGTGTAGGGGTAACGTGCAAACCCCTTAATCAGCCAGAACCTAAAATATATCTAGATGCTATTATCGTTAATCAAATATGTGATAACCTTCCTGATTCTACATTACCTATTCATAATTGGTCTCATCTTTTAGATCTTAAGCTTGCTGATCCCAAATATTTTACTCCAGGTCCTGTCGATCTGTTACTTGGGGCAGATGTCTTTCCAAAACTATTATTAAATGGACATGTTACCGGAACCATATCTGAACCTGATGCCATTCATACAATTTTTGGTTACGTGATTTTGGGAAAAACTTCTTCAATACCTCGTCCTGTTATGTCCACGTTTTTTTGCAAATCTTCTTGTATTCGAGAACTTAATAATACTTTAACCAATTTTTGGGAAGTTGAAAAAATACCCGAAACTACGACCTTTTCTAGTGATGATGACCTTTGTGAAAAATTGTTTTTAGATTCTTATACCTATACTAATGGTCGATATAGCGTGTCACTGCCCTTTAAGAGTGATCCTCCGCCTTTTGCTGGTATTCGTGACCTTGCTTTATCTCGCTTTCATTCTCTGGAACGCCGATTATTAAAGAATGAAAATTTGTATTTAGAATATTCTGCTTTTTTAAAGGAATTTCTTGACCTTGGCCATATGGAATTAATTTCTGGTCAATCGCTTTCCTCAACCAATGCTTATTATATTCCGCACCACTGTGTGGTAAAGCCGCATAGTATTTCAACCAAATTAAGGGTTGTGTTTAACGCTTCTGCTCATTTACCTAATCAGAAATCTCTTAATGATTGTCTATTTGTTGGACCCAAGTTACAACAGGACATATGTGCTATTTTGTTATATTTTCGCCTTAATGCTTTTGCTGTGTGTGCTGATATTAAACAAATGTACCGAATGATTTTAGTCAATTCGCAAGATTGCAATTATCAACGTATTCTTTGGAGATTTTCTCCAACCCAACCAGTTCGGGATTATCGATTAACTCGAGTTACATATGGAATTAGTAGTGCACCATTTTTAGCGTTAAGAATCCTCAAACAATTAGTGAAAGACCAAGGACACAGATTTCCTCTAGCCGCACATGCAATCGAAAATTACTGCTATATTGATGATTTTGTTTTCTCGTGCTCTAGTTTAAAACTAGCCAAACAGCTGGTTTCTGAGTTGGTTTCTCTTATGAAATTAGGAGGCTTTCAACTACATAAATGGTCAAGTAATAACCTTGATTTGTTAAAAATTCTTCCCGCTTCTGATTTAGCTAAACAACCGCTCGATTTTAATTCGCTTTCTGATGAAAGTTCTATAAAAGTTTTAGGTCTTCAGTGGGATCCTTGTGATGATGCATTCTTCTTTCTTGTTAATCCTGTCCAAAATAAACCTTGTACAAAACGCACACTTCTCTCTGAACTTGCTAGAATTTATGACCCGTTAGGCTTTATTTCACCTATCACATTTTATTGCAAGCATTTAATTCAGAAATTATGGCGTTCTGGGTTAGATTGGGATGTAGTTCCAGATGAGTCTATTACTCAACTTTGGGAACAATACCAGTCAGAATTACCTTTGCTTGCCGATTTAAAAATTCCTCGTCAATATTCTACGTTAATTTCATATTCTAATTATTGTCAATTCGAACTTCATGGGTTTTGTGATTCTAGCGAACGAGGCTATAGTTGTGTAATATATTTTCGTATTAAAGACGAAACAGATGCCGTTCAAGTATCATTTATTTGTTCCAAATCTAAAGTCGCACCTACCAAGAAACTTACTATCCCTCGCTTAGAGCTTTGTGGAGCCGTTCTGCTGACTAAATTAATTCTTTATGTTAAAACGAATTTTTGTAACCAAATTAGCTTTATAAAAATTCGCGCGTGGTGCGATTCTCAAATCGTACTGCATTGGATAAAGGGATGTCCCAATCGCTGGAAAACTTATGTCGCCCACAGGGTATCTTTCATTCAAGAAAATCTC